ATAAGTTTATCATCTAGATTCAGTTTACACAATCACTCTATTATCCTCGAGAAGAGTAGAGAAGAGAAACCCTGACAATCAATAATAAACCAGATTTATAATGACTTGAAACAAATTCGTTTTATTTCATGGTGTGTGGATGGGTAAAGATTTTAGATATAAAAAGCAATTCGAGACTATAAGACAAACAAAATTCAGTTTTGTACAGGTGAATTCTAGTTGTAACACTAATATGAAACGAAAACGAAAAGACAATATCAGGGAGGAGTCACCAAAACCAAATAAATTATGTGTTAACTCAAAAATCAAATTCTTACCCGTTATTTATTGAATAACAATGGATCGAGAAGCCGCCATTTTTGTTTGATCGTCTTTCTCTCCTCTCACACACTCATAATAGAATAATAGTGTGATTGAGATAAATGAGAAAGTATGAATATTAAAGAGTTTGAATGAGAAGAACACGGAGAGATTACAGAACCAAGTAAAATGGAGGCTGAAATTGAATGTACGATAAAGACAACGCAATCGCCATTGATGAGTCTTCTTCTCTCTCTCTCTAAACTTCTCTACCTTGTAATCTTCTTTCTCTCTCAACACTTGCTCTGTGTATCGAATAATCAAAACCTGTAACAGACTTTTTATAAAGGCAAAGAGATAAGTCAAAATCCCGTTTGACTTGGGAGATATCTCTTATGGGCTTCGCCATAACACATGGCCCAATTCCTGAATTAAGGCCCATGGTTCTAAAGAACAAATTCAAACTAAAAACCAGTGACATTCAGATTACTTATTTCAAAAACTGTAAATCCAAATTGGGCACCCTACACATAATCAAAATGGAATCATTTCTGCATGGTCATGATTGTGGAGTAAAGATAAAATATGTGACCATGCAGAACAAATGAAGTGATTTAAAACCTATGCAGAAATATTATTGTCATTATTTAATCATAGTCTTCATGTCTCTGTTACAAAGAAAACAAAGATACATACATTTAAATTGAATATTTTAGGTCAACCACTAATAAAATCCATATATGGTAAGGTGTTTGGTTGTCAAATGAAAAGAATAGTAGAAAAGGGTTTGGTGTGGTGGGTTAGAAGAATTTTGCATTACCAACCAAATTTGGTCTTTATGGTTTAAGCCGAACTAAACCATAGAGGAGCCAACATGCATCCATTACTGCAACCACCACCACCACTCCACAAGAGGTTCACCCAACTCAAACCTTATTAGGATTATGGACCGATTTGCCCCTTTGAATCTTGTGCTAAGTAACATATATATATTCAAATGCATTGGAGGGAGATTGAAGTACAGTCTTTGAAAATCACACAATAACATGTCTTGCAAAGGAGAGATTGTTGTGGGTGTGGAGGAAGGATTGTTTCTCTTACCTTCAAATCTCTTCAACGAGATCTTTCTTGATCGCATCGTTCCATTTCAACAGGTTTGTTTTACAAGTACAGTCTTATGACATTATAAGATGTTATTATTAATGTTAAGGTTGTATAATGAACCAATCATTGTTTACATATTTGGCAGAGTTATAGAGGAGGTAGCTACTATGATCGGAAGCCAAGAACATGGTACGCGTTGAACCATTGCGGTTCCATGGAGAAGGCAAGTGATGTAGGTGCAGAGCGAAAGCCACGGGGCACTGGAGTCTTTCTTCCTCAGAGACCGGCAAGTAGCACACAAGAGAAGAGTCCCAAGAAGAAACAATGCACCATCATCTCTTCTCATTCCAAACAAATATTTCTTCCCAAGGAATGGGCTTATTAGCTACTAATTTAGCATTTACTCTGTATATCTTATAGCTGAAACAAAAATAAGTTTACATATCAATCTCTAGCGTCCGGTTCTATAGATTAGTATTGGTATGGTTTGATGAATCATGAGGCTCCATCACTTCCCAATAGTCTCTACTGTAAGAGCTTCTTCAAGAATCATGAGGTTGTTTTTTCCATTCACGTTAACTGGAAGGTATCACGATTTCAAATTCTTGTAATCGTTTTCGAGATTAGGTGCTGAAACCCCAACTACGCGAACTGGTGTAAAACCAAAGTTTGGCTTTCGCATCCAATGACTTTGATCTCGTCAACCAGAAAACATGAGACAGTACTTATACTAGCTTTGTGCGACTAGTCTCCAAAACCGAACCACGGCAAATGGGCATTAGCACATGCTAATTTCAATGAAAAATCAAAGAATTCAGCAGGAATTTGAGAATCAAGATCAACTTGCTGAGAAGAAAATTAAATTGAAACCTTTTAGAGCTCATGCATTTATTCTGGTTGTACAATTTTCCCTCTGTTTCCAACTGCTACCTAGCCTGATTCTCAAAGTCTATAAACAAAGAGAATGTTTTAAATAAAGAAAGCCAATAACCGGGCATTTGGTCTAGTGGTATGATTCTCGCTTTGGGTGCGAGAGGTCCCGAGTTCGATTCTCGGAATGCCCCCATTGACTTTTTTTGTAGAACATATGTAGTAAATCCCAGCTGAAATTTGCTTAGAAAGTCAACTTGATTCAATCATAGATTCTTCACAGATCTTGTTCAAACTGTGGACCACAAGTTTACCTTTCATTCAGCAAGAGAAATCAAAAACAAATACCTTCTCAAAGTTTCATTATTAAGTGCATAATGCAAAGAAAAATATACCTCTGTTTTACGTCCAATATCTTTCGACCATCCACTTCATAAAGCGAAGACTGTGTCAAGTTTTGTAGACTGCCAGATCCATCACGATTGACCTGCCAAAACAACACAAGAGTCATCATAAAGCATCTAATGGAAAAGCAAAGGGAGACAAATCTTCTCGTAAAGAAAGAAGAGAATGCAAATAGAATGCATTAACATATCACATAAAAACAGGGCTTTTGGTCTGGTTCTCACTTTGGGTGCGAGAGGTCTCGATTTTGATTCTCGGAACGGCTCCTTGACCTTTTGTTAATAACTGTGTTCTATGGTGCATAAACATAGGGCGCTCAGAAAGAAATATGTTCACAAACACGTAGAATCATGCTTTTTAAACATTCTAAGGTACAATGATGCGATTAGATATAACCTTTATCTCCTGTTATGTAGTCATTAGGTCGAGAAGTGCATCAAATACTTTTCACCTATGTACTCTCACCTAAGATCTCCAGTTCTCATCCTAAACACACGATTTTCAATCTCTGATGCTTCAGTGGAGCTAGAAACATAAGTACATAACTATAGCAGAAGCAACTTTGACAAGAAAACAAGATGAACATTTCCAAGGGTCCATCAAACACATCTTCCACTTATGCAGGATTTGTGTTGGATTGAACCCTTTTTCCCCTATGATGCTAAAGGATGTGTTTAAATCACCTTTGATGAATCCTGAATATTGTTATGTTTAGTGAGCATTTTTCCAAACAGCATAAAAGCAAACACACACGCACAGAAACAACCAAGGTCCAAAGCCTAATAGACTGTCTGCTGCTAGATTTTTGAACTCAGGCTTTAGGAAAGAGGCTCACCCAAAAAACAAAGCAAAGCAGAAATTTCTCATTATAAAGACTTCAAGCACAGAAATATAATTAGATTGAAGTTAAACTAACTGTTAAGAATGAACCCCTCATGTAGGAAAAGTTTTGGGCATAAATCTCCAGTGAAGTATGTATTTTTTTCTAACAAAAGGATTATAAACACCACACAAAATACTTGAAGTTAATTACATTACCGAACAGGACATTTGGTCTAGTGGTATGATTCTCGCTTTGGGTGCGAGAGGTCCCGAGTTCGATTCTCGGAATGCCCCACTGACTTTATTTTTATAAATGTTTTAGATGCTAGCTGACGTGGCTTAGAAAATGAATCTTTATTACAGTCTCAGATTTTTCAAAGATCTCGTTCAACGACTGCAGAACATATATATCCCTTAAAGTATCATTATTAAGTGCTTGGTGAAAAGGAAACAAGAACATACCACTGTTTCGGTTCCAATCAAAATGTCGTTTTACCGAGTATACTTCATATAGGGAGGGCCATCACATTTTGAAAGTTGCCTAGTTCATTATGAATAAGCTGGAAAAATAGCAAAAAAGATTTGATTACGCATCTGACAGAAAAGCAACAGGAAGCACAATTCTCTTTAGGAAAGGAGAAAATGCTAACAGAAGGCATAAACTAAGCTGCATCAAAAACAGGGCAATTGGTCTAGTGGTATGATTCTCGCTTTGGGTGCGAGAGGTCCCGAGTTCGATTCTCGGAATGCCCCATTGACTTTTACTAGTAAATGAATGCAAATTAAACTGAAATATACATGCCAAAGGAGGGGTCTTTTTTCCTGGCTCAATTGCCAAACATACATTTCAGATGCAGTTCCAGCGAAAGGATTAAAAATCAGCAATCTGCATTTAAGTGTAAAGCCGAAAAACAGGTAGGGAAAACTTCCAGTTTGAGAGAGCCGCAAATGATTTTTCGATGTATTCATATTAGGCTATTGACTAGGGTATATTTTCAATAACCAAGAAGTTGGTATACCAACATGATCAAGTCATATATCAAGATCATAATGAATTGAACTACATGAGGGTATATATTGACTGATGTGAAAAGGCAAATGAAAAAAGTAGGACAAGGGGACTATCCTTTTCTAATTATCTCCGCAGAAAGTTAATCCATCCAGAGTATATTGCAAACAAGACTTCTACTTTTTTTTTAAATGCAAGTGATCAGATCACTGGAATTCAGTTGAAAGAGATCTGAACAGATCTAGGAACTAGCTAAATACATAGTAAAAGTCAACTAAGAGAACGAGATCACATTATCACCAAAGATGGTGATCATCAACTATTTAACTAAAGTGTATAAAAACAGGGCATTTGGTCTAGTGGTATGATTCTCGCTTTGGGTGCGAGAGGTCCCGAGTTCGATTCTCGGAATGCCCCATTGAATTTTTAGGGTTTCTGCTTTAAACGCCAGCTGAGAACTATCAATAAAGAAACCTGCTTTTACTGCATG